ATTTCCTTTCTTCAGTTTTGTTAATGTTAGTTTTATATCTTTTGCAGGTCTTTTCACTTGGTGCATCGATATTTATTATTGTTATGTCCTCTTGTTCTAGTGACCCTTTAAGCATTATGTAGTGATTTTCCTTGTCCATTGTGATGATTTTTGCATTGAAATTTATTTTATCAGAAATTAATATCACCACTCCTGCTTTTTTATGGTTGCCATTTCCTTGGTATAATTTCCCCCACCCTTTTATTTGTAATCTTTCTTTTTCTTAATTTTTCAGGAGTGTCTCTTGTAGACAGCATATTGATGGATTTTTTTTAATCTAATCTGCTACTTGTTTTCTCTTCAGTGGTGTATTCAAACCATTCACATTCAGTGTGATTATTGAAAGGCAGGGTTTTATTGCTATCATTTTGTTGAGTTCTTTTTGGTGTTTTTTGCTAGTTACTTTGGTCCATGCTGCTTTCTGTGGCACCACAGCTCTCATTGTTTCCTGCAATATTGGTCTTGTTTTTACAAATTCTCTTAGGTTCTATTTTTCTGGGAATATCTTGATCTCTCCTTTATATTTGATGGACAATTTTGCTGGGTACAATATTCTTGGTTGACAGTTGTGTTGAGTGTTCCATATATGTCTTTCCACTGTCTTCTTGCTCACATGGTTTCTGTTGAGAAATCGGCATTTAATCTTATCTGTTCTACCTTATAGGTTACCCTTTGTCTCTCCTTCACTGCCTAACAGTATTATTCTTAATGGCCAAAAATTTTTGTTTTTGTTAGGTGCCATAAAGTACAGCTCACAGTGACCCTATAAACAACAGATCTGGACAATGTTCTATTCTGTCCTATCCTCATAATCTCTCAAACAATTGAATCAATTGATGTGGTTACTATGTCAATCCACCTGGTTGAGGGTATTCTCTTCTTTCACCAATCCTCTACCATTCCAAGCATGATACCCCTATTCAAAGATTAGTCTCTTCTAGCAACATGACCAAAGTATGTGAGATGAAACTTTGTCATCTTTGCCTTCAAGGACTACTCTGGCTCCACTTTCCCCAAACTTCACTCTAAATGCATCATGAGCCAAAAATTGTAGACAATTAAAATATCTATTATTGTTTTTAGGTGCCATTGAGTCAACTGTAATTCATAGCCACCTTGTGAATAACAGATCTAAATGTAGCCCTGTCCTAAATACATCTGGCAGTCTCCAGAAACGGCCTAATTAGAGGTGGCGGTGAGATGTGTCCTATTTAGAAGAAATCTGACACAGCACTTTAAGTACTAATTTTCATGGAGTCAAAATATTTTGGGTACATTCCTTGGGATTTTCCTTTTAATTTTCAATCTGTCAATTCAACAGTATTTGACGTAAAAAAACACCAGAGACTTTTTCTTTAAAGATACTGGGGAAATGGGGCTGTTGCTGGAAGTTTGTTTATTTGTGTGAAGGCACCAGAAAGAATATCCTTATATCTGATATCTATTGTTTCAGTCACTATGTCAAGCCATCTTGTTGAGGGTCTTCCTCTCTTTCTCTGAGTCTCCACTTTTCCCGGCATTAGGTCTTTTTCCAAGAATAGGCTCTCTCCTGACAGCATGCCCAAAGTATGTGAAGTGCTTAAAGTACATGAAGCGAGGTTTCACCATCCTTGCCTCTAAGGAGCACTCTGGTGGCACCTCCTCTAATACAGATTTGTTTCTTTGGCAGTCCATGGAAATAATCAATTCAAAGACAGTGATAAACACACACGCACACACACACACACACACACAAACCCAACACCTACAAACGAACAAAACTCCCAACAAAAACCAACCAACCAAACAAAACCCCCCAAAAAACCAAAATCCAAAACAAAAGCATTGACTCATCTTCTGTCATCCTTATTCACTGTCCAACTTTCAGATGCATAGGAATTGAAAAGACCATGGCTTGGATTAATTAATAGTAGAGATGTCTAAAAAACCATATGTATAAAATAAAGTACTATAGTCTTCAAAAGAGATGAATGATAGCCTTACAAATTATGGCTGCATCTCAAAAATAATGTTGACTAAACAAACAAACAAACAAACAACCCCCAAAACAAACCACCAAATATTAAAACATGTTAATGCCTTCATGCGTGTCTCAGTGGTAACAAAAAATAATAATTTTGATGAGATTAAGTGAAATGATACATTACAAGTAATTAGCAACCTTTTATCTTGATAAATGCTAGCCATTATGGATTATTATGTTCTTTTAACAGCCCATTTTCTGGAAATGGGTATTAAAGAGCCCTTCTAACGCCCCTCATATTCCCTTATCTACTTCTTTCTCGACTTTTTCACAATTGAACTTGGGTTCTTTAAGAATCACCCATGACCTAAGCAGAAGGGATGCTGGGAAGACTGTGGAGCATGACGGGAAAGGGGGAGGGTCTGCGTGGGAGCGCGACCAAGGCTGTGCGGCCGTAGTTACCCTGTTGTAGCGTGGTGTGAGAGTAGGTGGAAGGATTACTGTAACAGAAAATAAGCCTGACTTTAGCACGAGATCCCATCTCCCTTCTTCGTCCTGGTGTCCTTCTCAGGAGCAGGGAAGGTGAGGAAAGCCGCAGGGGGCGGTGGGAAGTGGTGAGGGGGAGGGCGCGCATGACCACGTGACTGATCGGCTCTGGGCGGGGCTGGTGCCTGGCCGGTTTGGGCACTGGTGGGGTGCAGATTTCGCAGCAGGGAAATGTTGACAGTCGTTTGGGGTAGTGTTTTCTTCCTCAGATACAGTGTTGCAGCTTTAATACTTTGTGACGCCCATGGAAATGATTGGTGGAAACGAGAATTTTGGCGATACACAGGGGAGGGATGAGCGAGTATAGAGTTGTGACAAATGCTTTCAAGTTCTAATCTTTTTCTAAACAGGCTTTTTAACAAGTTTCAGGTTTTCATGACTTATTGACTATTTGAACAGAAATAGCTTTTGGGTGGCTTGAATTTTCCATCCATTGAATACACTAAATTAGTACTTTTTACTCTTATTGTTGTTGTTCGTTACTGTGCAATAGATTACTGCCTCCATTTGTGCAGAGTTGAAGACGACCACCACGCCAGTCTTTGGAAACGCCTTTTAGGAGAAGAGAGTGTGGCTCATAGGAAGACAGTTTTGAAGCAGGGCTTAGGCTTAGTCAGGGAATGGACATTGGCCTGTATGGAAACTCGGACAGGTTCAGGTGGCCTACTTGCTTAACTGTGTACTTGCTGTGAAGTTATTACAGCATCTGGATTTCTTCAGGTCAAGAATGGAACCGTTCTGGCAGTCTTGGGTAAAAGCTGACTTAGAGGTGGGGGTGAGAAAGTATGCACCATTTAGAGAAAATCTGAGATGGCACTTAAAGTACTAAATTTCACGAAGTCAAACAATTTTTGGTTACATTCCTTGGGACCTTCCTTTTATGTCTTGTATTTGCTAGTTCAATAATCTTTGACATAAAATTTGAGTGTTTGTCTTTAAAGATACTGGAGATATGGAGCTGTTGCTGGCGGCAGTTTTCATAGATAAAGGCAGCAGGAAGAAAACAGAATGGAATTAGACAAGGCCCTAAAAGAGTTGTTTTTTTTTAATGGTTAGACCACGCAGAAATTTTAGTGACTGGTGAAGGGAATAAACTTGAATATCAGTCTTTTATATTGTGTTTCAGAAACCCAGCTATTTATTACCAAGACGAAATACATTAGTTTCAGGGGAATTCCTTTATACCAAAAATTAAGATGAAGGAACCATTTGATGGTGAAAGTGACAAAGCAGTGGCACCACAACAGGAACTTCTGGACAAAATTAAAGAAGAACCTGACAATGCTCAAGTAAGCCTCTGATCATGACTTTTTTTTTTTTTAACTGAAAAGTGATCTGAAAGTTTTACTTAGGCAGTAAATTAAAACAACCCAACTGGTTTTTCCTCATTAGATTAAGAAATTGATTGTTTGACTCTACTCCTTGAAAAAAGTTCTTGGCAACTGTTTATTTCTTTCAGCAAAAAAGAAGGTATTAGGTCTTTAAACTCCACCTCCCATATTTAGCATTTAAAAAATTCTCTTGTATCTGATAGTTTCCTTTTACTTTGTAAGTATATGTGGTCTGCTCTGTGCCAGGAGTGATCAAACTCAAATCAGTGTCTTTGCACCTAGAGCTTCTAGGTTATCTAGGGAAGCTAGATTATATATTTATCAAAATGTTGTTAAGTGCCATTGAGCTGCTTAAAACTCACAGCAACTCTACAAACACTGTATCTGAACCGAGCCCTATCCACATCATCTCCTACATACTCTAGCCAATTGTTGCAGTCACGATGTCAATCCATCTTATTGAGGCACTTCCTCTTTTTTGCTGACCCTCCGCCTTTCTAAGCATGGTGTCTTTTTTTTTTCCAAGGAGCCTTTTGTCATTGTGCCAATACATCTCTGTGTTAGGGTGCTCTGGTAGCTTAGTCTATATAGGTTGGTGTGTTGTTAACCCAAAAGCTACACCTTTCTGGAGGATCAGATCCAATAATATCTCCTTGGCAAAAAGATGGGTAGTCTCCTCCCATGAAATTTACAACTACTGAAGGAGATTTAAATCCAATGGAGGATGAATTATGAATTGGTTCTGGCTTGGTGTCAGTGAGTTTATGTATCATGCATGTTATGTTGTTAGGTGCTATTTAGTTGACTCTGATTTATAGCTATTCTATGAACAATAGTAACCTCTCCAAAGTCCTGAAGGGCAATGGTGTCAGTCTAAAGACTAAGGTGCAAAGGTTCATTCAGTTTAGTCTTTCTAATTAACCTGCTATGCATCTGAGAGCTGGACAGTGAGTAAGGATAATAGGATTAGAATTGATGCCTTTTAGTTGTAAGTTTGGAGAAGAGTACTGAATATCCCATGAACTTTCAAAAAACAAATTGATAAAACTTGAAGAAAGTGCAACTAGAGTGCTTCTTGGGAGGCAAGAATAGCAAAGCTTCATCTCACATATTTTAAATATGATTTCAGGAAAGCTGTTCCCTGGAAAAGAACATCATGCTTGGAAGGTTAGGGAAAGGGAGGAAGACCCTCAAAGAGATAGATTGACATGATGACTGCAGCAGTGGACTTGAGTGTCAGAAATGATGAGGATGGTACAAGATAGGACCAGGCTCAGATCTGGTGTTCATAGGGTCACTGTGAGTCACACTTGACTCGATGGCACTTAACAACAGTGTGAACATTAGATCAAAACCTTTCATTGTCCTGCATCATCCTTACAATCTCTGTCATATTCAAGCCACTGTTATAGTCTCCTTGTCAATTCATGTCCTTATGGAATAAAGATGAAGTAGTCTATTCTGATAAAGATTTATAGACTTGGAAACCTGAAGGAGGGTCATCATGAGTTTTGATTGACTCAGTGGTGGTGGGTTTGTTTTTGGAGTAGTGCTTACAGGAGCCCTGTGACACAATGGTTAAGCCCTTGGCTGCTCATTGAAAGGTAAGGGCTTTGAACCTACCAGTCACTTTTTAGGAAAAAGTATAGCAGTTTGCTTCCTTAAAGATTATGACTTTAAAAGACAACACAATTGAAAAGTAGGCACAGGATATGAAGACGCTTGACAAAGAAGACATTCAGATGGCCAACAAACACATGAAGAAATGTCCAAAATCTCTAGCTCTAAGAGAAATACAAATCAAAACAACCATGAGATATTATCTGACCCCAGTAAGAGTAGCAAAATTTAACAGAACAGCAAACAGCAAATGCTGGCGAAATTGCAGAGAAACTGGAACTCTTATTCACTGTTTGTGGGAGTGTGAAATGGTGCAACCACTGTGGAAGGCTGTATGGTTCTTTCTCAGAAAGTTGCAAATAGAAATACCATTTGACCCAGCAACTCCACTACTGGGAATATACCCTAAACAATCCATAACTGCCACACAAGCAGATATATGCACACCCCTGTTTATTGTGGCTTTGTTCACAATAGCAAAGAGTTAGAAACAATCCAAGTGCCCATCAACAAACAAATGGATAAATGAAATGGAGAAGCTCTGCTATATTTACACAATGGAATACTATGCTGCATTGAAAAACAAGGAACTCATGGAATATTATTCAAGATGGGTGACCCTGGAGGACATTATGCTGAATGAAATATCTCAGTCACAAAAGGACAAATACTGCATAGTGCCCCTGTTGTAAAATGGGACTGACATTGGGGTTGAGGGAAGACTGAGAAAGAGGGGATAAATAATGTATACTGCATTGAAACAGATGAGGGAGAGAACTCTTTAAAAGGGATATATGACTAGGTATTATTGGTATGACAGGAGTCCAGAATGAAGGCTGCATAGTGGAGTGGACTTGGAGGGAGGGATTGTATAACAATGAAAGAATTTTACTTTTCAAAGAGAAGAGCGAATTGGAGGGGAGAGGTAGATAGGGAGAAAAGTGCAACAATGAAGGACTAGAAACCCTAAGTCTCTGTAAACTTTCATTAAAACTAATAAAGAAAAATAAATTTAAAAGGAAAAAAAAGATTATGACTTTTAAGCCAGTGAGGCAGATCTGCTCTGTCTTGTAAGATTGCGATGAGTCAGAATCAACTTGATGGCATTGGCTTGAGTTTGATCTTATATATTCTGTAGTAGTTCAGAAGGAGTTTTCCTGCTGATGAAGCCTCTCTGATGGATAAAAGATGGACAGTCACCTCCTGTGTGATTTATAGCCTTGGAAATCTCTACTTGTTGAGTCACTTTTGAGTTATTTCCACCTTGGCATTGAGTTTGACTAATTTACCAGGTCCCTGGTAGCGCAATGATTAACAACCGAAGAGCCAGACATTTTAACCTCTTTAAAGATTCAAAATCTTGGAAACCCTGGAGCAGGGCAGTTTTACTTTCCTTACAGGGTCCCTGTAAGTCAGGATTGACTTGATGGCCAGTTGGATTTTATAATGTGTCAAACACTATTCTCATAATCATACTATTAACCCTCATTTTACAGATGAGGAAAGCAAAACATGAGGTGGTTAAGCTCTTTACCTCATATTGTTGTTGTTGTGTACTGTCAAAGTGGAATTAACCCATAGCTCGCCCTCCAGCGTGTTTCCAGGGGAAGTAAATCATACAAGAGATTGCCCATATTTCACCAGAAGGGAGTTCTGGTGGCCTAGTTGTAAGGGGCTACTCTGCCATCCTGAAGGCATGCAATTCTAATCTACCAGATACTCTGCAGGAAACACTAAACCACAACAAGAAGCTACCAGAGCTCCCTACTCCAAGTTAAAGCTAGTAAATAAGAGATTGGATTGAAACTCAGGTAGTCAGATTCCAGCACCTATATCATCCTGCTTCCAAAATAATTCGGTGTACTTTGTGGTTAGATTGATAGGGTCTTGTGGGTCTTGTTATGTGTTTGGGTGTTTTCCTTAAAAGTGCTGGGAAACCGTTGTAGGATTTTAAGTGGGAGAATAAGCTAAAGAGGTTTATTTATCTATTATGGATAAGCCTATCTGTTACAGATGAACAAATCATTCTGGCCACATTCAGGAAATTCGATTGGACAGCACAAAAGTCAATATAGAGAAACCATGTTGTTTGGGAAATTTGTTTTTTTCTTGTTAAAGCAATATAAATATTTCAGTTTTTATTTATATAGCCAAGTTACTTTTGTTTGGGAAATTTCTTTTGTAAGAAAGCATTCTGGTTGTTTTGGGAAGAAATGAATTTTCTGCTTCTTGAACAGTTCTTTTGTTTTATTAACTTTATTGCATAAGTAAAATACCTATTTTTGGCCTCACCTCAAGATAGCATCATTTCAGAATTGGAATGCCTCATACCTTCATGCCTGCTGGGAAATAGTGGCATATAAGTTACTTTTCTCTCCAAATGATAATTTATTATTATTCTGCCATAGTATTCCAACTTTTGTGCATTATACCTTTCAACTTTTAAAAAAAAATCCATCTATTTCTTTTTATCCCTATTTCATTATTTTCATCAGAACTTTTAGGACAATTCCCTATTAGTATGCCTTTCTTCAGTCATATACCCCATTAGACAACTGTACAGTGATGTAGTTATATTCTTTATAGATCTAATTTTATTAGGCCCTTCAGTCATATACCCCATTAGACAGCTGTACAGTGATAAATAGTTATATTCTTTATAGATCTGATTTTATTAGGCCCTTTAAAGATTTTATCGCCTTTGTGATGGCATTAAAATTTTAGTGTAACATACAAAGCTTTGTGTCATTGTTCAGTACCATCACTCATAATTCCTACCTTTTAAATCCATGCTCTTAGGGAGCTCTGTGGCCTAGTGGCAAGAAGCTGCACTGCAATCCCAGAGGTGCGCAATTTGAATCCACAAAATGCTGTGCTGGAGAAGGAGGGAGGGACAGTCAGTCTCCTCCTGTACCAGTCAGATCCGATTTGATGGTATATACACAAAAAGAATAAAATTTAAAAAAAATCCATGCTTTTTCAGGCTTTTTCCAAATAAAAAAATTGAGATAATGAAAATCTCTGTAGTAAATGTAATTAGGTAGAGACCTAGTGAGATCTCTGGTTTATATTAATGCTTTGAGGTTAATAGGCTGTGATTTTTAATAATCATATAATAGATCATATCATAGAATAGCCAAGTGAAAAATTGTACTGTTTTCCAAGCTTCATTGATAAGTTTCTTTTGAATATTGGAAAATAAAAGCCCATTGCCATTGCACTGACACTGACTCATAACAAACCTTATAGAATTGTCCCGTAGGATATAGGATTTCTAAGGTTGTCATATTTGCAGAAAGACTACTTCTCTCATAGAGTCACGATAGGTTATTCTAACT